AACTCTTTGGGTGGTACGGCAACTACCCGAACCTATTGTCTAATTGCATTAACAGCCGAATTGGTCCAATTACAATAGCAGCCGTCCTTGGAAGCGAAGACGAACGGAAGGATATGTGTAAATCAACGCAGAATTTTACGTTGAGCAATTATATATAATATACATATCCATACCGGAGACGACTCCTAAGTTTATTACTAATTCATACCAAATTGAATACACCCTTCACGAAGGTACAGGGTATAACTATTTATGAGTTAAAAAATAGCGACACCAATAACTGATCAAATTTTTGATAAATTTCTATTATTGACATGAGGTTTCAATAGTTACAAAGTATAAAAGTACATTTATTGACGCAAACTAAAAATTTTACATTTTGCAAATTTTTTAAAAGAAATAGCTTATCAAATGGAAGAGCTGCAAAAAAACGAAGTTTTTTCATTTGAGTAAAATAAAATAATTATAATAATAGTTAAAATTTAAAGCATATCCAAAATTTTAGTACAAATATTTGTATGTGTGTACATATGAGTAAATAGACAAATATGTTTTCTTTTATCTTTAAGCTTTCCCAACATTCTTGCATTTTAAATTGGTTTTATAAATTTAGTTTTTTTTTACAAAGAAATTCCTCTTAAGTTTGTTTATTCAATTTATACTGCATATGTTAGTTCATTATTAATTATCTAAATTATAAACTTGAATTCTTATACAATAATTATTTTCCAGTGTTTCAATTAAATTGTATTATTTATCTAAATTTCGTTATATACTATTTTTATACTCGTACGAATGTGTGTTCGAAATGTAGACTAAATTTGCCTTTCCGTTTATAGCGCTAAGAAATGATGGTTTGAGATATAGATTCAAGTATATGTTTTTGATCAGCATCGGACTCTGAGTCGATTTAGTTTTATCTGTTCGCTTGTCCGTCCATCCCTCCCAACGATAACTCTAAAACTAATTGAGCTAAGTTCAACAAATTTTCAGAAAAGATTTATTATGGTAAATGCCAGAACCCTATTTAACCTGGATATGATTGGGGTACTGGTTCGGGTAGCTGCCCCACAACTTCAAAAGTTATTGGGCTATATCTCAGAAACTATAAAAGCTGTTATATTAATATTTCACGCAAGCGATATATTAGTGGGGCCAATGTGTTTGATAAAAGTTGTTGAAATTGCTTGGCTCCTTCTGTTAGATGACATACAATTTGGAAAGTTTTTTGGTTATATCTTAAAAACTGTTAAAACTACAGTACCGAAATTTTGAAAAATAAAATACGGTAAAATGGCAGCTATATTCATTAAAAGTTGTTAAGATCTCATGAGCACTTGGGATAGCTGCCATACAACTCTAAAAGTTAATTCGCATTATCTCAGAAATTATTGGAGCTATAATATAGAAATTTCGTGAAAACAAATGCATTATTAGGGTACGTGTGATAAAAATCATTGAAATTTCTTGACTCCTTGTGGCAGTTGCCACAATACATCTTCAATTGTTATTTGATCTTAGAAAAAATTAAACACAGTACCGAAATTTTGTATAATTTAATATGGTGATACGGCAACCTAAATTCATAGTTTGTCCTATAGTCAGCTATGGCATATTTACTCACACAAAGGATAGCAAATTTGTACGGATATCACAGAGTTTACACGGCAACTCTATTGTTTTTCGTTGTGTAACAATTAATATCAACAATTATTCACCAATTCCATTGCAAACAACTATATTTCGTATTTACGCAAATAAACTTATGTTTATGTAAACTCCATATAATAAATATGGAGTTTGTAATCACTTGAAGGAGTCGTCTCCGGTTTGGACATGTGGCGTATTATTCTTGCTCAGCGTAAAATTCTGCGTTGATTTAGACATATTTAGACATTTATTGTTTTCTGCCAAAGACGGGTGCTATTGTAATTGGACCAATTCGGATAAATGGTTCGGATGACTGCTATACAACTCAAAGATGTTTTTTTAAATATTTCAAAAACTACTAAATATATTATTATAAAACTTCGCAAAATGGTCTCTAAGTATATTTTACATGCGTTCCAAAAATTTTAATAGAATAGCTGAATTGGTTCTAATTCCAGGTCACATCTATCCGTGTTCGAATGACTTAACGGGTTCGGGTAGCTGCTATGGAAACACAAAAGCTAATGTAAATGCAGATAATGTCTTTGCAGTTTTGGTTGGATTACTAGACAGATTCGGGTATCTTCAGTAGAGCTTCAAAAGCTATTTTAAAATATTCGAAAAAATAACAAAGTCAGATTCATGAGACTTTCCAGTCAGGTGTCCAATTGCAGATCACATATATCTGTGAAGTTCTGTTGGAATGACTTGATGAATTCGGGTAGCTGCCATACAAGGAATTTTTAAATATTTGGAAAAATAATAAAGTTAAATTCATGAAACTTGGCAGTCGTGTGTCCAATTTCAGGTTACATGTATCCCTGAAGTTTTGTTGGAATAGCTTCATAGGTTTGGCTAGCTCCCAAACTTCAAAAACAAATTTTAAATATCTGAAAAATCATAAAGTTTTCATGAAAATTGGAAGTTGTGTGTCTAATTATAGGTCAGACATATCCGTGAAGCTGCCAGGTTCGAGTAATTTGTATATAAAAATGAAAGCTAATTCTAGATCGCTTAAAGGTGTTAATAATACTGTACCCGTTACGCTAGGTTGTATTTATTTTAAAAAGTTTATAATGAATTGCGACAAATTATAAATTGTATAAACGTATAATGCCGTAGTGAATTTACTATCTTTTGAATTTAAGGTCTGTCATAAATCTAAGAAATTGTTTTTTGAAAGAGATAATTGATTTCGATTTAGAAATTCAAAAGCTTGTTTTTTTTTTCCTTCTTCACTCCTAGAAGGAGCATATAGGGCTAGTGCATGATTTCTCATGCACTAGTTTCATAGCGTCATAGAGTTAACTAGGTAGGTGACTAGCCTGCCGCAGTTTTTTTACTTATATTAATTATTTGAGGTTATTAATATTTACTGTTTATTTTTCTTTAGCTTTTAGTATCGAATATTATGAATATTTGAAAATTACTTGTATAATATATATTAGTATTGCATATTAAGTTATATAATATTGAATATAATTTTTATAGTGACTTGACCGGGGTTTGAACCCGAGACCCTTCGGTTAAAGGGCCGGTGCCATAACCACTGCACCAATGGTCAGATACAAAAGCTTGTAAATTAAAATAAAAACAAGCCGAAAATATTTAACTCATTAATCAAGTAAAAATTTTGTATGTATGCATTACTAAAAATAAATTGTGGCTTTTATAAACAGATTTTGAGTTTCTTAAGTTACACTTCACGGTCAACTATGAGTGTCTTGTCTACTAAGTTTTGAATTAGCACAAAAATATTTACTGATTTACATTATGAAAATTTAAAAGGTTGGCCTGCATCTAGTTCAAAGGTCTGACAGATTTTTCTCCTAAACATTTTTGAAGAGATTGAGGAAAATATTTGATTACATGATTTATTTAACAAAAAATATATTTGTTTACAAAATACAAAAATCTCAATGAAAGTATTACAGTTCATGAAATTAAGAACTGCAGGAACATTTCACTAATGGAAATAAGAATAAAAAAATCTGATGTGATCAGCACATAACCGACAACGTGTATTGTCTAGTTAAGTGAAAGTGTTACAGAATATTATAAAAAAATCTGATGTGATCAGCACATAACCGACCGCAATATATATTGTCCAGTTAAGTGAAAGTATTACAGAATATTATAAAACTGTTTGTTAAATACTTCTTTCCAATTTTTAGGACATTATTAAGCTTATAGTTAACATACCTAGAAAAATGTAAATTTGGCTCTTAGTAGGGTTTCGCTTTGTGCTACCCGAATTCCCTGAAATGCTCGCCAGTTAGTTTGGGTAACAAACTAACCAAAACTCAAAAATCAAATTTCAAGAAATTCCATCAATTCGTTCCGTAGATATGGTGAAAAACGTAAAATCGGGCTGCAGATCAGTTTTCGAGCCATGAGTTTTCCAGAAACTTTATATGTTCATTGTTTCAATACGAAAAATTGAAATATTAAATTTCAATGAAATTGGTTGATTATTTCTCTTTATATACACAAAAATGTATATTTGGCCCGAAGTAAACGTCCAGTTGCTGACGCCTGATTTCCTTCAAGGAGGTTTCACGGACGGTGCAGCCAAGCTTACATATGAAACTCTAAGTAAATCGGTTGAATATTTTCTTCAAAATAGTCAAAAATGAAAAACAGGCCCGATAAAAAGTGCAGTTCCCGAGGCCTGATATATTCCAAAAGTGCCATGATCGAAATAAACTTACATATAAAATTTCATCAAAATCGGTTCAGCCGAACTTGAGATACACGCGTGTACACGCCATCACGCGTGACCGGCAGACCGCCATCACATAACCTATTATATACACAATACAGTCGGTAAAAAAATTATAATTTACAAAAAAAATTTTTTCAAATACTTATATAATTTATAAATAATTATATCAAGACTTTACAACAAAAAGGGTATTCCGAAATATTTTGAATAATTTGAATATATTTTGTGTTATGAAATTCAAAAAAGAAACTGGTTAAAAAAAGTTATAATAATATTGTAAATTTTTATACAATACTGCGAATTTTGCCACTAATGCCAATACTTTTGGAATTGGTTTCATTCGATCTAGTAAACTTTCATAATTATAGCTAGCTTTTTGTGTAGAATGAAAAAATTTAAAATCAGAAAACATTCATAATTGGGCACTTTTGTTTTTAAATTTGATAAATTAATTTAGCTTGCAATAATAATGTTTTTAATGCACATTGATTATGTTACAATATCCTACTTCACCATAAAGTGGATTGGCAAAATCTTTTATTTATATATTTGAAAATTGCTTTACTTTTTTTATTAAGTTTAATTCAGATTACACTAATATATTTATTTTTTTTTACATTTTAAGAACAACAACATGCCTTGGTTAAAGTCAGAGCCCGCAACTTCAAATCCGTTTTTATCATAAATATTTTTGATTATGCATGACTAAAATTTTCTATTTTTTTAGGTAAGTTATTTTTTTAGCAGTAAACTTATAATATTATAATACAAACCCCGATTATGAATGTCACTTTAAACTAGAACAAAGTATTACTAATTTACAAGGAAATTTTATGGAATTATAAGAATCTCCGACACATTTTCTATTGTTTAAAATTTTGCTTTCAACATTTTCTTAATTTTTCTTTTTCAATTAATTTAAACGTTTCGTCGCAATCTTGTTCAGAATTCTTGTACAGAGTCTAATTAGAAAACAGGCGAAGCTCTTTCTTTCAAAATTTGAACTGTATGTAGATACTTAATGTTTCTTTTTTATACCCTGCGAACTTCGTGAAGGGTATACTAATTTTGGTATGGAGTTTGTAACTACTTGAAAGAGTAATCTGCAGTATGGACATATACGCATATTCTTGCTCAGCATAAAGTTCTGCATTAATTTCGACATGTCCGTCCGTCCGATCAAACGATAACATTCACAAGATAAGATTCACAAGTTGTTTCTTTTGTGCCAAGGACGGACCGTATTGTAATTGGACAATTTCGGACAATGGGTTCTGGTATCTGCCATACAACTCAAACAGTTTATTTTAAATATTTCAAAAACTAATAAAGGTATAAAAATATGAAATTTTGTATGCGTGTGTGAAATTACATTTTACATACATATGCTATAAAAATTATAATGGGATGGCTGCAACGGTTCGGTACCAATTATAAGTCAGATATATCCCTGAAGTTTTGATGGAATGCCTTGACAGGTTCGGGTACCTGCCATACAAGTCCAGGAGCTAATTTTAAATATTTGGAAAAATAATGAAGTTAGATTCATGAAACTTGGCAATCGTGTGTCCAATCTCAGGTCACATATATCCTTGAAGTATGTTTACCCCCATGACTTAACAATTATGTGTTTAAAATTTATTTCTATATGCCAAACCACAGTTTTGAATATTATTCAATTTATATAGAAAGCTTAAAAAAATTAGTTAGGAAGCTTTAAAAAAATATACACACATATTTATGTACTTAAAATTTTTGCGATTTTTTCCAAACTATTATAAGAATATTTTTTTGGAAATTTTCTTTAAACTTTTATAATAATAATTTATCTGTTATATATCAAAACAAACATAAAACAAAAAATTTAAACAAATTAAAAAAATTTGGTTATGAGACTACCAGGCTACGCAGTGCCTTGAATTTCCCTTTATAATTCTATATTTTATTCATATTTCGTATAACTCTTTAAAAACCATCCTATTTTATATTATATATATATAGCTACTTCTCAGGTGCCAAAAAGTACAGGTACTTCTAGAAGAGCTAGAGACGTGGGACAAAAGGCATTAGATAAGGTTTGCCTCTAGGGTCCCAGAAAAAGCAAGAATATGGTCTGATGGAGGTCTGATAGATATATATGGCATTAACTAATACCATTTAACAAATAAATTTGCAAAAGTAAAATTTCTAATTATTAGCTAAAATTATGGAAAAAATTATTTTTAAGATTTTAATTAGAGTCTAAAAAGGACCAATCAAATTGTGCATTTTAATTGTGCATTTCTCTTATAATATACGAAAATAAAAATAAAAAAAATATTAAGTTAACAAAAAGGACCTATTTCTTCAATAGTTTTTTTCAAACTAAAAAAATAAGTTCAACAGAAAATTAATTGAGGAAAAACATACGAATTATATCGAAGTTGACAGAATTGAAGCAGATTGGAAAATTTTTTTTAATGCGGTGGCCTTATACTTATAGGGCAGAGGATTAAAGGTGTTATCGACTTTTTGTTTTTGGCTTTTTGACTTTTTGTCAAAATTGGATTTATTCTAGGCCAACTAAAGTTTTTAAAAACTGGGTTTAAAACGACTGAATCATATCCTGCACATTGACAATCTCAGTTTAAAAATTGTTTTTAAAATATCTAGAATTAACTTTCATTGTTGTATAACAATTATTCAAACTCGTCAAAAACAATCTATAAAAACTTCACGAATATATCTGACCTATAATTGGACACACAACTGATAAGTTTGACGAATTAAACTTTATTATTTTTTCGCATATTTAAAATTTGTATTTGGAATTCTATGGCAGCTACCCGAACCTGTGCAGCAGGTTCTACGTATTTTAATGAAAATTCCATTCGAATTTTCAGAAAATACGTAGAACGTGACTGCACACACCTTTAAAAAATTTGATAAAGCAGCTAAATAGATGCAACGTTCATCAGAACTTAGGATTTCATTAAAAACCGGGGGCTTTCGGTTAAGGAATTCGAGTGCCAGTCGTCAAATCCTTGCCCAGTTCAATATCTGTAGAGTATAAGGGGGTTCAACTCAGCAAAAAAAGAAACACAATCAAATAAGACGAGAAATGGCCCGCAACAAAGAAATAAGAATAAACGAAAAATGGAGCTAAAGCATCCAAAATTTAGAAAAAAGATTAAAAAGCGATTTAAAGTTAACATGCGAAATTATGTTAGGGTCAGATTTAGAAATTATATTAACCTGAACTTTATCACTGAACTTAAATCACTTTTGAACTTAAATAGCTTTTACAAATATTTCAACCATTTGTAGCAAATCGAATAGGTAGTATAGAAGAAACAACGCCAGAACAATGGCGTCATATGTTGTTAAAACAGGCCCATTATTTTTGCAGGGATCGGAAAAATTATGGCCTTAAATTTTTATACCAAATAAGACCAAAGCTGACAATATTTAAAAAAAATACCGCTTTAGCAGCAAGCCGTGACGACCACAATATCTTCAAAGATATAAGTCGTGGGAATTAATACACAATGTTAAAAAAAGTCAAGGCCTACATGTTGAGTTTTAATAAGATTTATAAATCATATGAAGATCAGGAAGAGTTAGCGAAGTTTATATTACATTTTTTTACCAGGTTGCAACAGGATGGTCATAAACTCTTAAAACTAGTCAAATTGACTAACCATTAGTTTTGCTCTATCGTGGTTTTGTGTCTATATTCGCAAGAAGTGCGCTTTAGCACTTTAGACTAATTCGAGAGATTTCTTTGAGCCTTATTCTAGTTGTCGAAGTAGAGCGACAACTGTCGTCACGACTTGAATTTGATATTCTAAATGGCGATTAAAGTGACACGTGTCGTGGAATAGCGGGAAAATGTGTTTCAGGTATATTCCAGTTGTCGTTGTAGAGCGACACATGTCGTAGTGAAACGACGTTTTTTGTCGAAAAGTATTTAACAAGTGACAAGCGAGATGGATACACCAAAAATATAAGTTTAAACAAAACAATTTAATAAAAATATAAAAAATAATAAATTTTGTAATTTAATACATAAATTAAACCATATAATATATGGTTTGAAAGTCTGTAATAGCTTATAAATCTGTGAATAAAATAAAATGTTTGTAACTAATGTATTTGAAAAAATTATTATCTTACACTCCATTTGGCAAATCCAATGGATTAGAACTGTCCCTAATCTTAAATCTTTTGATCCTTAATTGTTGCTTTTTTTCAATTTCATCACTCTCGGAGTCTGATGAATCCATAAACCATAATACAAATGACGACATTTTTTATCTCCCTCGTATTTAAAAAAAATAAATATATACACCGAATTTTTTTTTTTAGTTTGAACTTTACTCGCCAAAATTTCTTTTTAAAATGTATCAATTTCACTTGAAACGTTTCATTTTCGCTTATTTCTCGCAGTCACGCCACTCGACAACTAGAATACCATATTTCAAATGATGTGACAACGACAACGACAAATGTCACGTAAGTGACGCGACAACTAGAATAAGACTCTTTGTCTTCAGTCTTTTTGTCCAAACCCCCTTCCCTATAAGTTTCATGTCATAGACCCTTATTTCTTCACCTACTTACGAAGGACCTTGTTCCGGAAAGTTTGTTTTTTTTGTATGTGTGTTTGCTTGGCACAACCCCATAACTACAAGCCATACGTCCATATAGACTTCTTCATTTGGTTATGTATCAACGCCTTATTGTATGTTGACAATCCAGACTCACGACCTAGAAGTCAATAGTTTTCTGTATATTTGTTTTCTAATTCTATTCTTTTCTTCTTTACATATTCCTTCCGTCTGAGCTTGACATCTAAAGTCGTACCTAGATATTTCGCTGTGTTTTAGATTGATGCTTTAGCACAATTTATTTATTACCGACCGCATTGTGTATACAATAGGTCGGTTATGTGATGGCAACAAATTTTGCATATCGAGTTTTCGGTAGGAATGCACTTCTCCTTAGTAGGCAAGTGTAAATAAACTATTTTTAGCAACCTGTCGATCTGTCGGTCTGTTGGTCTGTGTGTGCACGCGTGTATCTCAAGTTCGGCTGAACCGATTTTGATGAAATTTTATATGTAAGTTTATTTCCACCGTGGCACGGATTGATCAACTTTTGGTATATATCAGGCCTCGGGAACTGCACATTTTAGCGGGCCTGTTTTACATTTTTGAACATTTTGAAGAAAGTATTTAACCGATTTACTTGAAATTTCATATATGAGCTTTGCTCGACCGTCCGTGAAAATTTCTAGCTTTTGGAACAAATCAACGGCAACTAGACGTTTACTACGGGCCAAACATACACTTTTGTGTATATAAAGAGAAATAATCAACCGATTTCATTGAAATATAATATATGAATTCCTCGTATTAAAACAATGAGCATATATTATATTTTTTGGAAAGATCAGGGCTCGAAAACTGATCTGCGGGCCAATTTTACATTTTTCACCATATCTACGGAACGAATTATTGGAATTTCTTAAAATTTGATATTTGAGTTCTGGTTGTTACCGAAACTAACTGGCGAGCATTTCAGGGAATTCAGGTAGCACAAAGCGAAACTCTGCTAAGAGCCAAATTTACATTTTTCTAGGTATGTTAACTATAAGCTTACTAATGTCCTAAAAATTGGAAAGAAGTATTTAACAAACATTTTTATAATATTCTGTAACATTTTCATTTAACTAGACAATACACA